TCAATCAAGCTAAGTACGTCAAGGATATGCTCAAGAAGTTTGGATTAGAAAATGGGAAACCTCATGACACTCCAATGAGCTCATCAACAAAGCTTGACAAAGATGAAAGAGGTAAATGTGTGGATGTTAAATTATATAGGTCAATGATTGGCTCTTTGCTTTATCTAACCGAAAGTAGACCGAACATTATGTTTAGTATTTGCTTATGTACTAGATTTCAATCATGTCCTAAGGAATCACATTTACTAGCTGTTAAGAGAATCTTTAGATACCTTAAAGACACTCATAGTTTAGGACTTTGGTATCCTAGAGACTCTAGCTTTAGCTTACATGCCTTCTCTGATGCGGATTATGGAGGATGCAAATTAGATAGGAAAGCACCTCCGGTACTTGCCAATTCCTTGGAAATATGTTGATTTCTTGGTTTTCAAAGAAACAAAATTGTGTTGCATTATCTACCACTGAAGTGGAATACATTTCAACCAGTAGTTATTGTGTACAAGTTTTATGGATGAAACAACAAATTTTTGATTATGGAATTGAAGTAGGTACCATTCCTATCAAATGTGACAATACTAGTGCTATTTGTCTCACTAAAAATCCCATCCAACACTCTAGAACTAAGCACATTGAAATTAGACATCACTTCATTAGAGACCATGTCGCTAAGGAAGATGTAATTCTATAATTTGTTGATACTTTGCATCAATTAGCGGATATTTTTACAAAACCTTTAGACAAAGAAAGATTTTGGACACTTAGGAGAGAATTAGGTTTAACTGACATATCTTCACTAAGTGTTTAAAATAATTTTTAGCACTTTTAAATTAGATTTGAAAATACTTATAAAATAACATTTTTGAATGCATTCCATACTAATAGTTAGGGGGAGTTTATGATTCTTAGTGAAAATTAATTATATGTTTAAATAATGCTTAAAGATAGATTTGATTGATTGAACATGATTAACTTTCAATATATGAGTTGCCAATACCACTAAAGCTAATTAATTTAGCAACTTGAGTGTTTATACATAGATTTTTGAATTTTAGTGCAGGAGGAATCGATAACCACTTGCAGGGGAACCGATTCCCCCTTTAGGGAATCAATACCCCCCACAGGGTCTGGATATTACACGCCCAAAATACCCTATTTTCTCAAAACCCTTTATTACTCTTCTCTCACATCATTCTCTCTCTTCTCTCCCTAAATCTCTACTTTTGCCAAAATCATCAAAAACAAATCGGATTTCAATCATTTTTCATCTCCTAAACCTATTGGAATCATCAAACTAGTGCAAAAATCATCTCATTCTCACAAAATCCGAATTTCTCAAGGTAATATCTCTAAAACCCCTATTTTATTAATTTTTGAACTTAGAACTAGTTTTGATTAGTTCTAGGATGAACATTATATCGGGCATTGATTGTTTAGTGTTCAGAAACTAAATTTTACAACCAATTTCATAAAAAACACTCAATTTTCAAGAATATTTTTTTGAATTTCAAAATTAAAAAAAATATTCGAAACTCAATGGTTTAATTAATGTTTTTGATTCAATTATGTTGTTTTCATGAGAACTATTCATATTTTGATCTTCAAACATAATTTTTCAAATAGTTTTTAAAATTTTGCTCAATAGGATTCGGTTTAGTGAACCTTGAAATATTGTGGTCTCAATTAAGTTTTGGGATTGATTATATTGCATACATGTGTTTAAAATTGCAGTTTACTCTTTCTATTCCGATTTTCTTAAGTCATGTCTCACAAACGTTCTAGGCTATCCTCTAGTCCATCAAACCAACCACCAAACTCACCTCCAAATCCACCTCCTATCTAACAATTTCCTAATCCTAATCCCGATGATCCAAATATGACCATTCTTAATTCGTGTCCAAATCCACCTCCTATCTAACAATTTCCTAATCCTAATCCCGATGATCCAAATATGACCATTCTTAATTCATGCTTCAATGAACCAGGAGAAGATTAAATGCATCTATATTTTCAATCGTTTATGGAGATATTCTATTTCCGGTATGCATCTATGGAGTCACGATTTTCTTCCATAGAATCCCATTTGTCCACTATGGGAGCTCAACAATTAGAAATTCTCTGGGAGATCGCGAGAGTAACCCAACAATGAATGAACGTATTAATGCGCTCACACATGAGATTGCCGCAATGTGAGCTCATTTTCCTCCCTCCGATCCACCTACGGATGCTTGATTCTTGTCGTGCTTTAGTTCTCTTAGATGAGACTTAGAAATTATTGTTTTAACATTTTGAATGTTTTGGATGTTTGAATTTGATATGAATGTTGGATTTTTATGTTTTGGAATGGTTTGAACTTATTATATATTTTTGGTCTTTTTGAATTTTATTTTTGAGCTTAATGTTTATTATTTTGTGCATCATTTACATCATGTTAGATATATGACCAATTTTTCCATGTCACATCGTTTATGAATATTAGATTATGAAACTAATGGCTAACGTCTTCTCTTGATTGTGATTTTAGCAGCTTAAGCTTTAAATTTCTAATTATCAATTAACTAAGTTTTTCAAAAACCTTGTTTAAGAAGTTTTAGAGTATTTTTTATTTAACAAAAAGGGGATAAGTGTTAGAGTAAGGGGGAGTAATTTTTCAAACTCAATTTTTGATTTTAAAAATTATTTTCAAGAAAATCTTAAAATTACTTATGTGTTTTGTTATATCAAAAAGGGGGAGATTGTTGAAAACATTTTGATGTTTCGATATAACAAATTAAGTTAAATGAATTTTAAGATTTTACAAAAGATTTTCTAAGTATAGTCGATATAATTATTCGAATATCAAAATATTACTCCAAGTCTTTCAAAGTTCATTTTAATCCTTACTAAAGTGTAAAAATATGTTTTAATCTTTTAAACAAATTTACAAAGTATTTCGAGCCTTAATCGAGCCAAAAAGAATTTCTTAATAAATCTAAAACCAAAATGGGCAGATTGCCCAGATGGAACCGATTCCCCCAAGGAGGGAACTGATTCCCCCCTGAATGGTTTTTGCACCGAGAAATAACAGATTGCTTGGAGGGAACCGATTCCCCTCCCGTAGGGGGTACCGATTCCCCCCTGTGTAATGGTAGAAATATTTGAAATTTTACACTGCATGAATCGATTCCCTATGAAGGGGTACCGATTCTCCCCACTCTCCAAGCAGTTTTATTAATTGTTTTCACACTTAAACGGGTCTATTGACTCCACTAATCATCCCCAACGTTCAGAATCAATTGAAAGAATATTTAAACAAGCTTAGAAGCCATTGATCAATAAGAAGAAAGAACAAGAAATAAGAATCAAGAGAGAATCAAAGAGAAAGCATCAAACCTCAAGTTTGAGCATTTTCAAGCCTATTTCATTCAATATTCATTTTTGCTTTCAAGAACACTTGTTGTGCTCAATTGTATTATTCTTGAGTGTTCTTTCTTTGTTCTAGAATTATGCAAACATCTTTCCTTGTGAGGATTTTCTTGTAAGTTTGCAAAATTTGTATTGTTCTCTTTGGGAGAGAGTGTTCTCAAGAATTTGGGGTAAATTCTTGAGGGAGGTGTAAGGTTACTCTTTGTCCTCAAAAGAAAGACAAATTAGTGAATTTGTGGAAAATCCTTAGTGTGGATAGCCAAGGTAGTGGACGTAGACTTTGGTTGAGAAAGTCGAACCACTCTAAATTGCTGTGCAAATATTTTTCAATTTTCTGTAAAAGTTTCCACCAAATTTTTTCTTGCCAATTCACACCCCTCTTGGCCTATTCCTTCAATCGATTAACTCAACACTGTGGTTTTAAAAATATGTTTTAAACTACTAATGTTTTTAAAGGATCTGTACACATTTCTCTGTTTTGTTGGAATACACTAGACTCCTCAATTCAATCTTCTGAATTTCTCTCTCTCTGAATACTTCCTTCAGACCGTAAATTACTGTTTGTAATTGAAGACTTTGCTAATGAAGTTTGAATTCACCACTAGAATCTGATGATGACTATCCCACTAAGGAATTTGTTCTTTACCTTATACTCGATGACCTATTGCATTCATCTGATAGTTCTGTATTACTGAGCTTCCCAAAGCTCACTATTTACTCACTATTTTATGTTAAAATAATCGATTCAGTGCAACTATCAACTTAAGTTTTGGGAGTTCCTTCGGCTTTACTTGCAGAGTACAGTACAATGTGTAATTAGGGGGCATGTAGGTCACATTTGATATTTTTATATATATTGAGTCTGAGACTTGCATGATTTTAATTCTATTTATAATATGCGAATGGTTTTATGAACTTGTATTATATCTATAAGTTATTTTACAGTTTTAAATGGATTAACAAAATTTTTTTATTGATTTTTATTGTGGGTCGCTCCGGTAACCCTAATGCGACACATCAGATCAGATCGGGTCACCCGCATCGGTCTGAGGGTGCTACACAACCCAACATATGGAATTTTATATACCTTTTGACCATCCTTACAAGCATTTTTTCTCAATCAAAATACCACAACATTGATCATGAAGAACAAAACTCGCATATAGAACCTCTGACCTCAATACTAAATAAATATATTTAATTCGACTAGATTCAAATTTTATAAATCTAATTAGATTTTTTTAAATAAATTGAATAATAAAATAGTACTTATTAAGTCAATTAACTTTATTTTTTCACGCAATTCGACTTAAGTCAATTGAATACTTACACTTATATAAACTCTATATCTATACTAAAATGAAAAATATACATGTCAAACCAAATTTGAATTAAAAAATATACTAAAAATTTAAAATTTTACATTATTTGCCCATAATAAAACTTCAAATTAGCCATTCAAAATTTCTATATCTCAATTATGACACACAATCAATACCTAATCGATATCGATATCGAACTTTATAAAATATTCAATTTCATCCCTAACCAACTCACCCACCCATTCAGCTGCCTGACCCAACCTAACCCAACCCCACCAGTCTTCTTCACTCCTCTCCCAACCAACCTTCCTTCCTGTCAATTTATCTACCTCTTCCTCTTCTATTAACTACAAAGCAAAAGCATCGGCCCTCTGTGTTTGGATTCAGATCTTCAAATCACAGAAACAATGGCTCGCAAGAAGATCAGAGAGTACGATTCCAAGCGACTTCTCAAACAGCACCTCAAACGCCTCGCTAATATCGATCTTCAAATCCTCTCTGCTCAGGTTTCTTTTATCATCCTTTTTTTAATCAATTGAACCGAATTCTTTTTATTTGTATAATTGAAATGCAATCAAACAACAAAAGTTGTATGATATGAGTCAACAACGGAATTGCTACTCTTTTTATTTGTACAATTGAAATGCAACCAAACTACAAAAGTTGTATGATATGAGTCAACAACGGAACTGCTACTCCTTACGTTAGTCTCTCCAGTCAATGCTGATTTTGTTGTTTGCTTTGTTAGGTGACTCAATCTACTGATTTCGCCGAGTTAGCGAACGAACAGCCATGGCTTTCGTCCACCAGATTGGTTGTCAAACCAGATATGTTGTTCGGGAAACGTGGAAAGAGTGGCTTGGTTGCTCTCAATTTAGATCTTGCTAAAGTTGTTGAATTCGTTAAAGCACGCCTTGGCACTGAGGTAACAATTTTCTTACTGTCTCAGCTGCAGCTGCCATTTCTTTTCAATTTTCTCTTAATTAGTTTCACAATTCATTTATTTAGAATTGTGTGTGTATATATATATATATGAGGTAGGATCTGTTGACGCAGAGAATTTTAAGTTTTACATTTTTTTTCTGGACAGTAGGATGACGGAAAATGGATGCAATAAATTAATGGTAGGAAATGAGTAGATTTTTACGAAAAAAGTGGATTATCCTCGATTTAAAAGCTTTAATTTCAGCTATTAAACTAATTTAATCCAACGATTCAAGAAAACTATAAAACTTGAAGTTAATCCAACACAGTGTAATTTTTGTTCAAGTATTTTCATTTGTACTAAATGAATTGGAGAAAACTGCCCTGTCTTGTTACATTTTAAATAAGTACAGTTAACACTGATCTGAATCCTTGGTTATTTAATTATTTTCGATAAGCCTTGATTATTTATTTTTATTTAGGTTGAGATGGGCGGTTGCAAAGCTCCAATAACGACATTCATTGTAGAACCTTTTGTTCCTCACGAGCAAGAATATTACCTTTCAATTGTTTCTGAAAGGCTTGGTTCTACCATCAGCTTTTCAGAATGTGGAGGTATTGAAATTGAAGAGAATTGGGATAAGGTTTGTTGTCAATCTTTACTATATAGTTTGCCGTAGCCTTTTGTTTCAGTTGATCGAATTACTTAAGCATTGATGAATATATGCCTTTAAAATATGACATGTTTTTCACATGTGAGTTTGCAGGTTAAGACCATCTTCCTTCCAACTAGCAAACCTATGACCCTGGAAACTTGTGCTCCACTGATAGCTACACTTCCTTTGGAAGTGAGTTTCTTTAGTATTTTACATGCCGTTTATTTCGTTTTAACTTTTAATTGAATCTGTTTGGTGTTTATTCTTATATCATTAACATCTATACTTATAGTTTGCAATGTATTATATGAAATGCTGGTATAGTCTCTTAAGCTATACTGCGTTGCATTTATATAGCTAGTGTTAATTTCATTTTTGCATGATGTAGGTTCGAGGGAAGATTGGTGACTTCATCATGGGTGTCTTTTCTTTCTTTCAAGGTACTTGGGACCGATGGTTTCAGATCTGTTGGCTCTATGTTTTTATTCACTAAGCAGAAAATTTGCATGACTGAAAAAACAATCATCCATCCATTCTATATAACTTAAATGCCGGATTTTAAAGGATCACAAAAATGTCAAGTAATTTTCACTATGATGTTCAAGTATCATCATCTCTTTTATAAGAGTAGACGCTTCTGTTTTTGCAGTATTCTCTGCTTTTTTAAGTTATCTCAATCTGTTACATTATTGTTTTGTTCTATAACTATCTCGTGTTATCTATGCCAATGTTTTCTGTTTGCTGCAGATCTTGACTTCAGCTTTCTTGAGATGAATCCATTTGCACTGGTGAATGGGGAACCATACCCATTGGATATGAGGGGAGAGCTGGATGACACTGCTGCATTCAAGAACTTCAACAAGTAAGTTTCTTTCCAGGGAAATCATGATAGCTCTATATCTTCTCAGAATATATATTTATATATATCACAGAGATAGTTTCTCACTGAAAGAAAATTTTGAATTCAGGTGGGGTAACATAGAGTTTCCTCTGCCTTTTGGGAGAGTCCTGAGCCCTACAGAGAGCTTCATTCATTCGTTGGATGAAAAGGTAGCCATTCTCGTTGTAGCTTGTGTTTCAGTATAGATCTCTTTCCACATGGTTGAGGGACATTTGTTGATCACAATCTTTGCTTAACATCACAGACAAGTGCATCTCTGAAATTCACTGTTTTGAATCCAAAAGGGCGTATCTGGACGATGGTTGCTGGAGGTGGTGCCAGTGTTATTTATGCCGATACAGTAAGTGATCTAGTGGATCTGTGTTTTATGCTTTCCATTCACTGACCTTATTGTTGTTTGCTGCAGGTTTGATATCCTTTGATGCCATTCTAAGGATTTATTTCTGTTTATTTAATTAGGTAGGAGATTTAGGTTATGCATCAGAACTGGGCAACTATGCGGAGTACAGTGGAGCTCCAAATGAGGAGGAGGTCTTGCAATATGCAAGAGTCGTTATCGATGTAAGAAACTGTGACTGGTTTAGGCTTTTCTTATAGAAGTTTAAGTAATTTCATCATTTGAGCTTTTAGAAAATTCTACTGGTTTATGATGTTGCAGTGTGCCACTGCGAACCCTGACGGTCGTAAGAGAGCCCTTCTCATTGGAGGTGGCATTGCTAACTTCACCGATGTTGGTGCTACTTTCAATGGAATTATTCGAGCGTTGAGAGAAAAGGTATATTTCAGCTGAAAACAATTAAACCTTACTTCATCGGTCGAGATGATTTTCCTTTGACATTCCAGTCCTTTATCTTCCCCCTCACTCCAGGAAGCCAAGTTAAAAGCTGCGAGGATGCACATCTATGTTCGAAGAGGTGGTCCAAACTATCAAACTGGTTTGGCAAGGATGCGTGCTCTTGGAGAGGAACTCAGAGTACCCCTCGAGGTATGAGATCACAATCCACTCTTGTAAAAATGTTGTATATTATTCGACATCTTTTAGAGGTAACGGTTATCGATGTTGTATTATATTCATGAAGGAAACAGTAATATTACTACTTGACTATGTTACTGATTCTGGATACAGGTCTACGGCCCTGAGGCCACGATGACTGGCATATGCAAGCAGGCAATAGATTGCATTATGTCTGAAGCATAAACATGCCATTCTTTTTTATTCTCCGAAGTCGAGCTATGCTCCCGATGCAGTTTGTTATTCTTTGTTCGTGTCATTAAGCTGGTCATTTCACAAGTGTTGTGCGATAAAAAACATGAAAAGTGGTTCCAATGTTTTAGCATGAACGTTTGCTATTTCATTGATCCTTGCCTGTCTGTCTGTTTGTTGATTACTTTGGTCATTTGTGTTTCTGATAATGGCTGTGCAAACTATTCTTATGACTGAACCTAGGACTTTCCTTGGGGAAAGAACATCCATGACTAATTGGACAAACATTTGAAGGGGTTAATTTACTTTGCAATAGAAGTATAAGGGTCTATCAAGTATTTAAATTTAAATATTAGAAGTGATAAAGGCATTATTTGGTTGGTACTTAAATTTAAAAAGATTTAAAATACTATGGTATCAAAAGAATTGGGAGGGATAAGAGCTCCTCCCACCTTGTAAATGGCTTCTTATATAGATATATATTTATTTATTTATTGTACGAGCATAATGTTTTATTTTTAAAACAAATTTTTATACATCATAACACATAAATATGACATATAGCATTTACCATGTAATCATTTTAGACATGTATATATCATGTTATTATTTTGAATGTATAGTACTTTTAACGTTAGTAAGTCAAAATGATTATTAGTGAATATATATTTTTTGCATTATACATTTAATTAAATCATTTAATTATCAAATTACTTTTAATCAAGCTATTAACCATTAATATTTGATGTAAATGGTAACGTATATTAGGGTGTGTTTGTTTGCCGTAATTGGAATTACGGAATTGGTTTTTCCTGAATTCTTGTGTTTGTTTCACGTAATTCGTTTTCCGAAAAATGTTTTCCCGTGTTTGTTTTACGTAATTCGTTTTCCGGAAAATGTTTTCCCATGTTTGTTTAACGTAATTGGTTTTCCGGAATGTAATTGGTTTTCCGGAATGTAATTCATTTTCCTAGTAACAGAATTTCCTTTGTGTTTTCTGTAAAATGACTTACGGATTCATTTTCCGTAAGTCATTTTTCGAACTTTTCACTTCAAAGAATAAATAATCAAAATAATTTTATTTTATGAATTTAATATTAATAAAATATTTTAATATCATTTTCATCAAAATATTATTTATTTATTTATTAATATTTATAATAATATAATATAATATTTTTAATATTATATAAAATAATCAATTATATTATAATAATATAAGATATTATATTTTTATTTTAATAATATATAATAAAAATTTATATATTTAATAATGAATAATATTATTTATATATTTAAATAATATTTTAATAAAGATATTTAAAATATACTAATTAATATTTTTAAAATATAATATAACACTATTACTTTAATAAATAATTAATATAATTTATAATATTTTATTTCACTAAAATATACAAAAATTATTATTTTTATTAATAAAATTATAAAAATAATATTTAATAATAAATAAATTATTTTAATATTTTAAAATAATAATATTAAGTTTTATGATAAATAATATTATTTATTATAATATTTGTAATAAATAATTTTTAAAAAACTCTTCAACTAGTGGAAAATGATTTAAATAACATCTTCCAAACATCATAAAACGCTTTTCAGATGTTTTTCAGAAAAATATAATTCATTTTAATGGTTCCAGAAATGTAATTCATTTTCCAGAATCCAAATTCCAGTAATTCATTTTCTAGTTCCAGTAATTCAAGTTCCAGTAATTCAAATTCCAGTAATTCATTTTCCGGAAAACCAATTACAGCCAAACAAACAGACCCTTAAAGAAAATGAAGACATGGCGTGAGGGTCAAGTAGGTAAGTGTATGTAATCTGCAACTTTTGACCACAAAATGAGAACAATTTGGAGAGATTGCAAAACATGTAATTCTCCAGGTTGGCTTGTGCTATACATTTTGTGCCTCCGGTAATGGTATGGATCCCCTGCTATTTATTAGGGTTGTTGCACAAAGGTGAATGACGTTAATATGATGAGCCTATACATGTATCATTGTGTGTATATGTAAGCATGTGGGTAGGTACATATACGGTACTTCGTAATAAGAAAATTAATATACAAGCAAGCAACTCCAACCAATTGAAATGGAACAGTTTGTGTTGAGGTTAACCAAAGAATATGAAAAAGAGCCAACCCTATTCAGTACACTTTAACAGTGAAACAATCTCCACCCCAACACTATTCTCTTATCTTACAGTCTTCACAGCACCAATTTCATACACAAAACGAATCTCTTCCATCTACAAATTATACTCTAATCATCTCTTTCAAGAATCCCACCCTTCATTTCCGGCCTTATTCGAGTTCAAGGTTGCATCGCTTTCTCCCGACCTTGAAGCCGCACAATCGCTCCTATCGGTATCGGAGTTCTCCCTTTGTGAATCTATTTCCATGCTGTTTCCATGAGTCCTACGATGCCTTCGGTCCTGATTTCAGAAACATATCTGAGTTCATCGAAATGGAACAGCAGATAAAACCACCATGCACTTCATGCATGTCGGACAGTATAATGACCAAGTATAACCAACGAGGCAAAAAGACCTAAAGAATCAGTCAAGCTAGACGTGTCAAGCATCATGCTAAACAATGAATCCAACACTGAACTCTCTTGGTATAGGATACTCCTCGGACTCGAGCATTCGTGCAACTTGACCCATCTTCGGTCTTTTTTCAGAATCCGGATCGACACATCTCAAAGCAGTTAGAAGGGCGCGCTTTAGAGCTCTTGTTGATGGTCTAACCTCGATATTTGGGTCTACCACTTCCTCTGACCTCTTGTTTCCAACGATCATTTTCAGCCAATCTCCAGATTAACCTGTAAACATTAAGATTCCATGTTTAATTAACCTTAAAAATCTCTTAAGAAGGCTAAAAATATATAAACATTAAGATTCTATGTTAGGTAAAGATTGTTCATCGCATCCATGATTACAGTGTACCTCCTGGGCAGGACGGCCGTAATCCAAGGATCTCTACCAGTGATTGCTTCCAACAGTACAACTCCAAAGCTATAGACATCACTCTTTTCGTTCAAAAGACCGGTATTTGCATATTCAGGTGCAACATATCTGTGAAATTTCAGAATCAAAACATTGTCAAGAGATGACTAAAGGTCCTAAATATATAAAACACGAAGGCAGGCTAGAGAAAAGTAAATGCCCAAATGTTCCCATAACTCGGGTTGTAACATGACTTTTCCCGGCACCTAGCAACTTTGCCAGACCAAAATCGGAAACCTTGGCATTGAAGTCATCATCAATCAGAATATTGCTAGACTTTATGTCTCGGTGCACCACCTTTGGTTCAATGGCCTCATGCAAGTACGTGAGACTGCACGAAAAAGCCATATGTCAAATGAGAATTGGACGGATGACAATGTGTGTAGATATAGTGACTTACGCCTTAGCTGTGCCGAGGAGAATCTTTATGCGAGCCTCCCAAGTAAGATATCTGTGCTGACGCATATCTCCATGAAGCCATTGTTCCAAGTTTCCATTGTTGACGTACTCGTAAACCAACATCCTGCATTTTTAAACAATGTACTTTGTTGACAGAAACTATGCAAGAATTTTGGCGATATCGATATAGCAGGACTAACACTCGGACTAATATATTTAAACCCCAAATTTCCATGACTTAATTCTTGTAGAAACATAGTAAAAGAAGATTAAACCTGTGTGTTCCTTCAATACAGTAACCTAAAAGGCGAACCAAATTCTTGTGGCGCACATGCCGGATGGCTTCAACTTCCACTCTAAATTCTTTCTCTGCTTGGCCCCTACAAAGATAACAAGTAGTTTAACTAAACAGGACTCCGGGACAAGAAAATAACATCATATTTGAAGTCTACACATATACATGTTATACTCACAAGTTGAATATCTTCTTAACAGCCACAGGCGTCCCATTGATCAATTTGCCCCGATAAACAACGCCATGTCCACGCTCTCCAAGCACATTTTCCTTTGAAAACCGGTTGGTGGCGAGTTCGAGATCCGTCAATGTGAACCAGTGACCCCAACCCAAGTGAGAGAATTCAGGCAGGCCAACTAGAGGAGAAGGAGCGGTGACATGATACGAAGAAGACGATTTATAAACAGTTACATTGCCACCGGAACTCCCTTCTTCACCTGATTGAGGCCCTGCACCATCTTTTTCGAAACGGTGAAATGAACCCGACCGACTAGTATTGTCACCACCATTCCTTGATTTCTCCGTCCCAAGATGAACCATGACCTTATCCGAGTCTTTGTCACTGGACTTGTCATGGATAGTGAGAAGTATACCGTCATGCGGCACGAAATGGGTCGTAGATACTTGTTCGACTCTCACTTCCTTAATTTCCTTGGATATAGATGGGATTTTGGTAAGGGGAACCTTGTTCCTAGCTCTTGATCTCTTCTTCCGGGAAGTTAAAATGAGAGCAGTGTAAGGATGATTATGATGAATAAAGCAACAACAACAGCAATAATCTCCCAGAACTTAAGACCAAAAATGGCAGTCTTCTTGGACAATTCTGCATTAAGATCAGTTGCCATTTTCTGCTCTTCCGGATTATTCTTTCAGATACTCGTACCCTACAAGATTGACAAAATTCATCAAAATTTCCATTCCAAATCATATATTTCACTAATCACACATCAATTACAATTAAGACACAGATTCAGATAAATCATTTTGCATTCAGTAAAGCAGAAAAGCAAAGAATTTGATGCATAAAACAGAAGAAAATTACACAAATGTGTCAAATTTCACCTTGCAGCTGTAAAGCTCAGATCTTTGAATAGACAAGTCTAAGATCTCATCCAAATAATGAAGCCCCAATGTGGCCATTTTCCAAGAAACAACAGCAGGTGAGCTAATTGAAGAAATCCAAAAAGGAAAACAAAACAAAAAGTTAAATAGGTAAAAGAAGATGATTGGTGTTGTGGGAAAATATGGAGATGAATCTAAGCTGGCATGCAGCTATCTGGTACCAGAAATGAGTCTCCTTGTAATGGCAGAAACGACAATGAAAGGGTTGAGAATGGAGGAAGTGAACGGACATGGAAGTTGGTTTGAGAAGGTGAAATGAAAAAAATAAATAGAAATGAGCAAAATGAAGAGAAGAAGGGATTGAATTATCAGAGGTAGGTGATGAGCTTAGATGCCTTACACACCAAAATTAACTTTTTTTTATTAATACTCACTGTAAAACACAAGCAATGAATTTCAAGCATGCATTTTGGGGAAAAAACAATTTGTCTTCAACTCTAAAGCTTTCAAATGGAAGTTAAATTTGTAATTAAGGGTATGTGTGTTTGAAGGAATTTAATTTCCTGAAAACATTTTCATCTTTTTCAACTTTTTTAGGTGTTTGGTTGGAGAAAAATAACTATGGTCAATGAAAAATCAATTACGGTCAAAGGAAAACAAAGGTAGAAATACGGTAAAATAACTTATCGATTATTTTTTGGTAAGTCATTTTCCTAAAAGTTTATGGCCTTCTCATGGGTTCTTTGTTCCCCAAATCTTTTGCCCTAGGTCTTCATTTGCTCGCCGCCGTTACCCATTCATCAACAACTTTCACCTCTCATTGGTTCCTCACCGACTTTCTTTCTCTCATCAATTTTTTTATTATCACTCCAGCGTTTTCATCAGAGGTAAACTTCACATGTTTCTTTTTTGTTTTTTTTTCATTTAAAAATGAGTTCTTGAACTTTCTCAATCAATTTTTTTGGGAATTCTTAAAACGCAGAAGAAGACTCATGAAAGCATTAACAACATATTGACTCCTGCCTGATATGAAGAATGGAAAATACACTTTAGGTTGCAAAATTGCTCTTAAATCTCTCAGAAGCTCCAAAGGTATTGTTTCTTTGTCTTTTTAAAATTATGTTTCTTTGCCTCAACATTATTGAAATAATCTATTGTTAATATTCTTTTGAAACAATCCTATTGTTAATTTTGAATATCCATGGTATTGAAATTTTGTTAATTAGGTTTATTCTTGTTCTTAAACAATTTGATCAAAGGTGGATTTTATCTTTTGAATTGTTTACCAGCCCTTTCGGTGATCACATCTAGGCTCTTTGGGAAGTTTTGTTGCCGTAATCATCTTTTGCGGAGTTCTTTTCTTTGAACGGGAGTTTATATATCTATGTTGGAAAGTCTATGGGTACTGTTTGAAAGCTACGCTTTCTCATAAATCAATTGGAGTCGACAGTAGCGAGATTTTGAATTAGTTTCAATGTCTTCGGGTCTAAGGGGTTATGCTTTTGTTTGGTTTAGTTTCGGGTTGTAATTTGTTATGTTTGTTGCTCATTTGTTTTTTGTTGAAGTTGTTGTGTTTCTTGTCCGAATGCGTTGTACTCTTTTCATCCCACTAGGATTTGAGAGGTTTTTAACTAGGTTTTTAACGATCTTATTTCTAAGTATTTTACAACATGCTTTTTATCATTATATGTGCATTTTCATTTGATTATTTGAGGAGACAATTCAATTCACATAACAAAATTCATGTTCTTGTCATCCTTTCATATTAATTTGTTTATGCTTATAGAAAAATACTTCGCTCAAACTAATTAGGTTAATTGTACATTCGTGAGTGTATTGTTGTTCTCTTTTCTCATGTTTTCCCTAGTAAGCTTTATACACATACAGAAGACATTTATGTATTGTGTTCAGAGCGCATATATAGACGACTAAGATAGTATGTTGAATTGTGCACATAAAGTGCTTCACATTATAATTACAAGCTGAATGATGATAAAATCTCACTAAGGAGTTCAAACCTAAAATTGAGTATTTATAACACAATCAACATAAATTATTAATATTATCTACAAATTTAATTTGGCGTACTTATAGAAATAAAACATTTAATTTCAAAAATTTATAAAATACAATTTTATAAAAATTACTTACAAAAGTTTTAAAAGGTAAATTACAAGAAAAATATAAAAATGTATACATTTTTACAAAAAAACAGATTTCGTAAATTGTTTTCAGAAAGACTAACCAAACAATGTAAAACATTTTACAATGCAACATCCAAACAATATAAAATGTTTTATAGAAAATGTTTTCCATAAATGTAATTCATTTTTTAGAAATAATTTTCTGAAATTTATTTTAAGTAAAACAAACAGACCCTAAATTAAAATCTATAATGTTTAACTCTAAGTGTACTTTTTCCTTTTACCTGCATTCATGTTTAAGTAACAGATGAAGCATGTTCAGGCACTCATGTACTGTAGAAAACCATAAATGATGTGACATTATGGATAAGTGACTACAACAATATCCACGTATAAGAGTTAATTGTATCATATGTCTCCAAATTATAACCTTCATTTTAAATTGAACTTTAAATTTTTGAAGATTTTAATTTCATCTTCAAACTATGATTCTCATTCTAAATTAGTCTTTAAACTTTTGAATATTCTATTTTCATCTTTAAATTCATCCAAATATGTAATTAGTTTCAACCATATTTTAACCCAAATATTGTTTTTCCAAACATATAATAATATAACTTGGCCTAACGGTTTTATTAACAATGGATGTGATTAGTATATCCATATAGTTTGGGATGAGATTGGAATGTTCATAAAGTTTGGGGACTAATATAAAATGAAGGTCATAGTTTGGGGATGTAATAATGTTTAAAAGTTTAAAGATTAATTTAAAATGATAGTCATAGTTTAAGGATGAAATTAAAATATTTAAAATGAAAGTCAGATTTTAAGGATATATGATTTTTTTTAAAGAAATCACTAATTTCATTCAAAATAGGAAATATACTAAATTACAATAAAGATTTACAATAATAATAGTAAATTAAGCATATAATTATGACAATTTCCTATAAACATTGAAATAAAACTAGCAACTTAAGATCATATAAGGACATATAAGGAAAGATTAAAATCTAACCAAGAAGCTCGAACAAAGATAGATACAAACAGATCTAATCGCATCGACAAACGAACCAAAAAAGGGGATTGAGCTACTGAAAGACCATTGACAATCCATAAATCAGACTCGAACGATGTGAAAAGCTATCCACGAATGCATAACGGGTATCAGATCCAATCCGATGGTCCAAAGCAGGGAAGATCAACAATATAACATAAAAGCGCCATCTTGATCAGTCGTGACTATTTCTAATCAACTCTTAGAAAAAGATAAAAAGAAAACAACTGTAACATCCTCAATACCGGATTAGTGACCAAATTGTAAAATTTCAGAATTTGGTGTTAAAAGTAGAATAGATGAATAGTTCAATGATTTATTTGGAAATATTGCCTGAAAGTTATTAGTAATTATTAAATGAAGTGAAGGGCAAAACGATCATTTTACTTAGAAATTAATTAAAAATGGGATTGATAAAGATATAAGGATAAGATGAAGGAGATATTTTCTCCAAAACTTCTTCTTCATCTTCTTTCTTCTTCTTCAACGTGAAGCACTCCAAGCAAAGGTAAGTTTTCTGATTACATGATTGTTTGTTGATTTTAAGTATGTGTTTTGATCATTAGGTGATACTTAAGCTTAAGTTGTCTTAAAATCAAAATATTAAGAAGTTATGAAAGATTAAAGAAAATGGAGTTTTAAGTGAATTTTTGAAAAAGAGTTGATAAGTTGAATTTGAAACTAAATTTGACTTGTCATCAACTTAATTAAGAGATTTATGGAGTTAGAAAGGATTTATAACAAAGTTGAAAGTTTAGTAAGATTCTTAATTTTAAGAATCATGAGGAGATATGGAAGATAAAGATGGTTTATATGGATATAAGTTGGTTTAAGTAATGGTAGTTGAGTTTAATGGTATGATAGGGGCTTAAAATAGAAGAATTGAGTGAAGAGATGATGATTTTCGGGTTTAAACAGTAAATTATGGGTTTTAACAGATTATGCAAGGAGTATCGATACCCTATGAGTGGTACCGATACTACCCTAAGAGAAAATAGAATTGAGCTGTTCTTTTACTCTAAGAAATAAAGGATCGAATCATAGTAATTGAAATGTTGATTTGAATATTATATGTATAGATATCAAGCACAAGCAAATTTAGGAAGAACCATAAAGTTAGGATCGATTCAAAGAGAGAAAATCATAGAAGTGAATTTGGTAATTAAGTAAGGCTAAGGTGAGTGCATTTTAATTTATACTTAGGTTATTGAACAAACATTGGCTTGCGGTGAGCCAGTGACGAAGTTACTGTGGTAAGAAGTGACTCCTAAAATATTATTCGATTTGTGATTGATATGATGCTTATGTGGCATGAATGTATGTGATATATATATTATTGCATATGTTACATGAATTGTGTGAATATATGTTAGTGTGATAAGCTATGTGAACTGGTATAAATAGTGTAAGTGATTACATAAGTTATATGATATAAACATGTGATATAACATAAGCTAACGAATTATGTGATATAAGATAAGACATATATATATGTGGTTACATGAGAAATGATATAAGCCATATGAAACGATCTACGTGAATACATGCACTTGTGATACAGGTGATATGATATGAGATATATGGTTACACATGCATATGGTATGTGACAGAAGGGAAAGAACAAGTGATATGAAATGTATAAATGATAATGCCCATGTTATATGATATGAGAGCTAGTGGTATAGTTGGCATGCCAAGAGTCGAGGGTTAACTATGTTCTACGGAACATATGGACAGTTTACCTATGTTCTTCGGAACATATGGACAGTTACATAGGTCATTCGGAACAAATTTTATATGCCACTCAGTGGGACTTATACAAGATGTGGTGATAGCAATAATGCACAACCTCAATGTACTCGAATACCTTAAGTTCTCAATAATGTACATGGGCCTATAAAAGATATCAAAAGTATTTACAAGATTTATATGTGATATTGTGTGTATTCCTAAGTGAAATGTATTTGTTATATGAGATTGGTAATTTTTTATGCATTAGTGTGATTTAGAGTTTATATTATATGCTGATATGGTATAAAAAGAAAATTAATGATGTTATGTTACATGATATGTGCACGTATGTAGATGTTAAAAGAGAATAATATATGCTTTGGTATGATAAGGTAGTATCAATGTTCATGCATTGTAGAAGTTACAATTAGCATATAATTTTGTTTAATATTCCTTACTAAGTCTATGACTTAGCGTGTGATTGTTTCACACGTAGGTTTCGAGAATAGGAAGATTGATAAAAGTTATGCAAGACAGGCCAGTTCCTCCTTTTCCAAAGATCAGATCAGAAAAGAATTAAATAATATGCTCTAAATGGTTTGTAAAATCATATGATTGAGTTTTGTAATGTTTTAAATGTGTATATGTAAATGGTAATTTTATACGGATGAAAACTTAGATTTTTATGAATTTATATGTATTTTACGAAAGTTATTGTAGTAGTACTGTAGCAAGGCATCAGTACCTGTAGCAGGGGTATCGATACCCCTGAAGCAATCTGGAAATTTTTTAGCATTTGGTACTGTTCACGGTACTGTTAATTACTATTCACGGTACTGTTCATACCGTATAGTATTATTCATAAAAACATATATTTTCTTAAATTGGTTATAACAAATGCAATTCAACAATATATTATCATATTTTCTTAATATAAGTCCAAATGATTTGTATTTTGTTAAGAAAATTATTTTAAAAAGTCAATGTGATATCTCAGAGTCGTATCCGGGTCGGGTACAGGTTGGGGTGTTACAGTTAATGGTATCAGAGCTACGGTTTAGTCGATTCTAGGCTTAAAACGAAGTTAAAAGTGTTTTAAAAAGTATACATACCAACACAAATTGAAAAATTTTCTGGTCTGATAGTGTAAAGAGTGTACTGTCTTGTTAATAGAGTTAAATTGTTATGTTATATTAGATGTATGATTATGAGAGCTTCCAAAGTAAAGTACAAGGCGATAGACCTGAAGGTAATAGCAATTTACCTGCCCTGGCCAGGCAGGGAGAAGAGCGAATACCTCAGGGAGTGCCTGTATAAGATTAGAGAATGTCTTCATGATGTTGAATGATATTATGATTTGTTTCTAATTTTATGCTTCTTTAACTCATAGAATGAATGTATGGAAATAGTTAAAAGAGTTAAGAGCACCCGAGCTCAAGAGTGAATTTGGGAAAGGTTTTGTTGTTACATACCTTTGAAAAATGATATGAAGATAATGTTAGAAGGTTTTCATTTCTCCAAATTGAAGAAGTTAAATTGAGTAGTTTCGTTACTATGTGGGCACGCTAAAGTATGGTGGAAAAATGTCACCATAAGAATGTTAAAAGATCAAGTAATGTGATTATTGTTTGTAGAAGAGTTCAAGAATAAGTACATCGATAACCAGTTTATAAGACAAATGAAGCTAGAATATACGAGCTTGAATTAAGGGAATTACACGTGCATGTGTATGAAGGTAAGTTTAATAAGTTAAGCGGATTTGTTGCTGAGTTAATTTCGATTAAGAAGGATATATGTGATTGGTTGTTTAGGGCTTGTACCTTAGATCAAAAGTGTTGAGTTAATCGATTGACGGAATCGGCCAAGAGGGGGGTGAATTGGCAATTAAAATTTTGTGGAAGCTTTTGCAGAAAATTGAAAGTATTTGCATAGCGATTTAGAGTGGTTCGACTTTCTCAATCAAAGTCTACGTCCACTACCTTAGCTATCCACACTAAGGATTTTCCAACAAATTCACTAATTTATTCTTTCTTTTGATACCAAAGAGATAACCTTACAACACCCTCAAGAATATACCCCAATTCTTGATAACACTCTTTCCCAAAGAGAAGATTACAAATTTGCAAACTTACAAGGAAATCCTCACAAGGTAGATTGTTTGCATAATTCTAGAACAAAGAAAATAACACTCAAGAATGAATACAATTGAGTACAAGTAGTGTTCTTGAAAGCAAAATGAATATTGAATGAAAAATAGGCTTGAAATGTATAAACTTGGGGTTTGATGCTTTCTCTTTGATTCTCTCTTGATTCTAGTTGCTTGTTGTTTCTTGTTGTTGATCAATGGCTTCTAAGTTTGTTTAAATACACCTTGAATCACTTCTGAATGTTGGGGATCATTAATGAAGTTATTGGAGCCGTTTAAGTGTGAAAACAATTAATATTTCTGCTTGGAGCGTGGGGGAATCGATACCCCCTCATGGGGAATCGGTTCCCTAAGTGTAAAATTCAAATATTCGACCGTTGAATAGTGGGGGGAATCGATACCCCCTGGGGGAATCGGTTCCCTCCGAGCATACTGGATTTTCTCGGAGCAAAACCATTCAGGGGGAATCGGTACCCCCTTGGGGGGAATCGGTTCTCTCTGGACAAACTGTAATTTTTGGCTTTGAAACAGTTCGAAATACTTTGTAAAATTGTTTTGAAATTATTTTAAGATTAAAACTTAATTTTACACTGTAGTAAGGATTTAAAATGAACTTTGAAATACTTTGAGTAATATTTTGATATTCGATTTAATATATCGAATATAATTAGAAAAATCATTTTCAAAATTAAAATTCTTTTAATTTAATTTGTTATATCGAAACATCAAAATATTTTCAACAATCTCCCCCTTTTTGATATAACAAAACATTTTAAGTTTTTTCTAATTTCAAAATGAATTTTGATTTTGAAAAATACTACTCCCCCTTACTTTAACACTTTCTCCCCCTTTTTGTTAAATCAAAAAGACCCTATAAAAACGTTTTAAACAAGAATTTTGAAAAACGTAAGCCAATTGATTTATTAATATAAAGCTTAAGCTGCTAAGATCACAATCAAAAGAGAAGTTAGCCATTAGTTTCATAATCAATATTCATAAACATGTAATGGATAATTGGTCATATATGTCTAAAGATGCAAAATAAACACGAAATCCAAATCAAATGTATTAAACATAAGTTTGAACAACCAAAAAATAAACAATCCAAAAGCATTCAAAATGTTTTAACAATAATGCAAATATTCAAGTTCAATCCAAACAAGCAACGCAAAGATCAAAGTTTATGCATCCGTAGGAGGATCGGGAGGAGGGAAATGAGCTCGCATAGCTGGCATTTCATGAGTGAGTGCATTAATACGAGCGTTGGTTACTTCATTGTTTGCACGCATCTCCCGGAGAATTTGCAATTGTTGAGCTTCCATAGTCGATAAGTGAGATTCTATGGAAGTGAAGCGAGAATCCAAGGATGCATAACGGAAATCAAATGTCTCCATAAATGATTGAAAATATGGAGGCACTTGATCTTCTTACTGAGCTTGTTCCTCGTGCTGCTCCGGCTCATCGTCGGCTTCGTCAATATCTTGCATTAATTGTTCAAGCTCAGGATCGTCGTCAGCTTCTGGTGGAGCTTGTGAAGAACTAGCTCCCGGAGTATTCTCAGAAGATCAAACCCATTCACCAGTTTCTTTATTTTTTATTCATCCCGCTCTTGTTAAGGAAAGAAGATTAATTTGTTTTTTGAGAGGAAAGACGACATCTAGACCAAATCTAAGCCCAGCTTTAGAAAATAGATTACTCAGAATGCAATCGTAAACTAGAGATGAACATAGTTTCTTATTAGGAACAAGATTTACGGTTTCAACAATTTCAGCAAAAATAATCTGAGGTAGGTTTATTTTAATATTGTTTTGGAAACAATGTAACCACCAAAGATCCAAGGCTCTAAGAGTTGAGTAACGACCTCCGGATGGTCGAAACCACCAAGAAATCATTAGATGAAGAAAACGATCATGAAGATCTAAGACACTCACACTATCCCTTCATTTATAACGAGAACCTAAAAACTATTTTTCATTTGATATACCATCATTATCTAATCCTAATTCATTGGCTATGTAAGCTGAGTCAATATGGAAGAATTGTCCTAGGAGATAGGAACGAACACTTATGGTTTTGGTTTGAGCTCAGTTTTTAATACAAACGGCATTAGAATAGAAGATGCGAACAAGTTGATGGTAAACTATAGGTTCAAGGTCACAAAGTTTATCAAATTTTCACTCTTGTAAAAGAGGAAGATATCTAAAATTGATATCTATCATAGCTTGAAGAGAAGGGATACGTTCTTCTCTAATTTTGTAAGAGTCAAAATATTGATAATACCAAAAACGATGATTTCTAGGACCA